CAATTACTTGTATGAGCACTTTCTTGACACTTAAAATGTTGTAAGTTTTCTCTGAGTTTCAAAAATAAACAGGCTCATGCTTCTTGTCCATTACCATGCATCATTAGGTCTTGGATTTAACTCAACATGCAAGGACAACTAGACCTGAGCTTTGGACAAGTACAACTAGAACCTCACTTGTCCATTGGACAAGTGAAGTTCACAAATCTTTTTCTAACCCTGGTCAAATTTAGTTTCGATCCTTTCCCTGTCGCTTTACTGAAAGAATACCTTGACTTGCCTACACTATGCAGGATAGTGAACTTGTCGCTGGAATCTGGTCAGTTGCCTTATTCTCTGAAAACTGCTGTCTCATCATCAAGAAACCTTCTCTGGATCATGAACTCCTTGGTAATTATAAGCCTATCTCAAATCTCAAAGTCATTTCTAAAATTATCGAGAAAGTTGTGGCTGTACGTCTCCAAGACTACCTTCACCGCCCTTACTCGCGTTCACAATGACATTCTTCTGGAAATTGATAATCATCACTATGTTATTCTCTTTCTGCTTGACTTGTCTGCTGCTTTTGACACTCTCGACCACGATATTCTGCTTAAAAGACTTGACTCTAGGTTCTCAATTTGAGGTACTGCTCTTGACTGGTTTCGGTCGTACCTTAAACCGCACACAATTTGCCTTAATCGATGGAACAAATCACAACCTTGCGAACTCAAATGTGGCGTGCCTCAAGGCTGTGTCCTTGGACCCATACTTACCTACTTTATACAGCACCACTGGCTGACCTTCCGCGTCATCGTAAGATGCAATTTCATTTCTTCGCTGCTGATACTCAATTATACATATCTTTTTCACCAAACAACGACCTAGAATTAGCCAGCACCATTGCTAAAAGATAGGATTGCTTGTCTGATCTTGATAGATGGATGTCTCTTAATAAACTAAAACTAAACAAAGACAAAACTGAACTTTCTCTACCTCTACTCTAACTTGAAGCTCTGTTCTGTAACGTTTCTACCACCACTTCGTTTTGGAAATGATACAATTCATGCGTCCGACTTTGCCAGAAACATCAGCGTCATCTTTGACAGCACTATGTCTATGCTCCCTAAAGTCAATTCTGTCTGTAAATCAGCCTTCTACCATCTGCGTCACATTTCCCGCATAAGAAAATTCCTATCATCAAAGACTACCGAGATTCTCATCCATGCTTTTGTATCCTCCAAGCTGGACTACTGTAATTCTTTTTTGTATAATGTGCCCATGTATGTTTTGAAAAAGCTTCCATCAGTACAGAATGCTGCCGCCCGCCTGATTACATGCTCCCGCAAATACGACCACATCACTCCAATTCTGTCCGATCTACACTGGCTTCCTGTAAATGAGCGTATTAAATTCAAAATCCTGCCGCTTACTTTCAAGGCTCTACACCAATAAGCACCCACCTACATTCAAGATTTGGTGTCTCGCTATTCACCGCCTAGAACTCTCCGCTCATCCAACTTGCTACCCCTGAATCCTGTTATCTTTAATAGGTAGTCCTATGGATCCAGAGCCTTCGCTGTCGCCACTCCTGACCCATTGGAACAGTCTACCTAACAACATCCGTTCATGTGATAATTTAAGTACTTTTAAATCTCTCCATAAGACTTATCTTTTTAGGAAAGGTTGTTATTGTTAGTATGACCATTTTTATCTCAATTTTTATTCATCTACTATTTGATTATTTCTTTAATTGTTTTATTTATCTATTTTTTTGTTTGGAATGTTAATGTTTACTTACTTGTTTGTGTAAAGCGACTAGAGCAGTACTGGATAGGCAATATACAAATTTTAATTATTATTATTATTATTATTATTATTATCATTATTAGTTCCAGGCTTCAGAGGCGTTTCATCATTTCATTGTTTTCTTAATAGCTTTTTTCAGGAAAGCTCCCTTTAAGTGCGACAGGGTATGAAATTACGGGAAATATTATGGGGGCGTCCTTTATTTTTCTTAGTTATAATTGAACACTGTTGTATGTTTTCTAACACAGTGGTGGATCCAGGGGAGGCCCACCCCCTTATTTTTAGATCAAACTGGGGTCTGAAGGGCCAAAAATTTTCTGTGGGGGGCTTTCCCCTTGTCTCAGGGTCTCAGGGATCCGCCACTGTAACATTTCATAAACTTCTGTTTATAATCCCTGGGTAGACGGCCCAAGCTCAATTTAGTATACAATAGGCGATTATCAACATAACAACATGTGTGAGGTGTTGTGACAGAAGGTCGGTTAATGGAAGGATTGTATATATGGGCTCGCAAAC